TCACGGGAGCCCAGCGGGTCAAGGCTGCGGTGGCCCGGGAGCGGCCACTGCACTCCAGTCTGGGTGATAGAGTGAGACTCCAACTCAAAAAAAAAGAATACCCAGGCTGACCAGGCGTGGTGGCTCAAGCCTGTAAACCCAGCACTTTGAGAGGCTGAGACAAGAGGATTGCCTGAGTCCAGGGGTTCGAGACTAGCCTGGACAATTTAGCAAGGCCTCATCTCTACAATAAATTAAAAAATTATCCAGGTGTGGTGGTACATGCCTGTGGTTCCAGCTACTTGGAAGACTGAAGTGGAAGGATCACCTGAGTCTGGGAGATCAAGGCTGCAGTGGCCGTGAGCATGCCACTGTACTCCAGCCTGGGCAACAGAGTGAGACCCCAACTCAAAAAAAAAAAAAAAAAAAAACCCAGACCAAGTCTACTTCACAGTATTAAAGAACTGAGTTCTCAAAGGGGAGGAAAGAAAATGCCAGACTCCATGCTAAATGCCTTATATGTCTTGTCTCGATCAATGACCATGGTCCTCTGTGAAGGATGAACTATACCCATTTTACAGATGATGAAGCTGAAACCGATGGGCTAAGTAATTGCAGGTTCCAGGATAGATGATGGGAAGGTGGTTTCCCCAAGTGGAGTGAAGAGAGGATTGCAGACCCCCCACCCCTGCAAGCTGGCATGAGGGTCTAAAGGCTGGTCTGAAGTCTGCCCTGGGGGTGAGTTTGTCAGCACCATCTCTAAGCCTCCCAGATCAAGTCCACCATCCACCATGTGCCTACCTCTCCTGCCAAGCCTGGGACCCCTAAGCAACAAACCCCACATTGTTCCCCCAGCTGGCCCAGGCGGCAGGGACAGTGGCTCTTTCCCAAGGCCAGCCAGCCTGCTGACTGATTCTATAAGCCATTCACGTTGGCAGGCCTAGGAGGCGGTGGTGGCAGGGCCTTGGATCCAGAGTCTCTCCCCCTTCATCTCTGAGCCAGCCAACCAGCAGGAGGGAGAGGCAGAGGGCACCCTTTGTGGGGGATGCCCCCAAACAGGATGCGGAGGCATCCCCTCCCCTGCCCCGACCTTCCACCCTCAACCTTCTCCCTCCATGTCCTGGACTTCACCTCGGTTCAGCCCCCCCAACACCCCGCATCCTTTAGGAAGTGATTGGTGCATCTAGAACTGAGGGGTGGACCGGGGTGGGGATAGAGAGGGGAGAAATGTGGAGAAAACAGCCCTGGTAACTTCAGTGCAACAAGCCCGCCTTTGGCCCCCTCTCCACCCGGCTCCCCCACCCATCTTAAGTTTCTATGGACAAAGCTGGGGGCTTCAGTCACCGTGGCAACAGGTCTGCTAAGAAATGGGTGGGTGTCACTCCCCAGCACAAAGGGTGTGCACATGGCAGCGCCATCACCTAGCAACGGCCTCCCTCTCTCTTGGCGGCGTCAACCGCCCTGGGGGTGGGTGCCAGGGAGAGAGAACAAGGCTTTTAAGATCCCCAAGAGAGGGGGCAGGGAAGCTTGGGTACAGGGCGGACTGAGGCCAAGGGTGTGGGCGGGGTGGACAAAGGAGAACGGCGCCCAGGGAGCCCAGAACCCCTGCCCCTCACCACCCCTGGTCCCCTGGGGACCCTTCCTGGGGCTCCGTATGGATGCTCTAGGTAGGCCTGGAGGGTGGAAGTCTCTGTTGGGACCCAGGGCTGAGCTTCAGCCAGGGGAGGTGGCTCCAAGGAAAGCTGGGCATTTGGGGCAGGGAGCGATTGGTGGCCTGGTCTGAGGCATCACCTCTGGTTGCTACTGTGCCAGCTTTTCAGGGACTGACCCGGCTGAGGGTGCCCTTCGGAGGGACCCGGAGGTGATGCTGGGGGTGGTGGGAGACCAGCAGGAGGAGCTGCAGGGCCTGTTGGGGACTGGACTGCAGCTCTGGTGGGAAGGGTAGTGGGTGGGGGCGGGGGGCAGGCCGAGGCCAGGCAGCTGGGCCTTCGACAGGCAAAACAGTCCATTCTAAGAAACGGAACAAGAGCAGCTCTCAGAGTGAGAGAGACTGGGAAGCCCCAGGGCTCGTGAGGGGAAGACCATCAGATTCTCTCGAATGGGGGCTTTGTGGAGAGGGCGCGGTAGAGGTGGGGGCCCTGAGAGGAGATAAGTTTACAGCCTTTTGACTTCCCAGGGTGACTGGGTTTAGGCCAGGATGAGAACTTAGCCCTCCCAGCTTCCCATGCCCCCGTCCCTCAAAAGCCATAACTGCCCATGGCAGGGCACAGTGGCTCAAGCCTGTAATCCCAGCACTTTAGGAGGCCGAGGTGAGTGGATTGCCTGAGCTCAGGGGTTCGAGACCAGCTTGGGCAACTTGGTGAGACCTTGTCTCTACAATCAAAAAATAAGCCGGGCGTGGTAGCGCTCGCTTGTACCAACTACTTGGAAGGCTGAGGCAGAAGGATCGCCTGAGCCCAATAGGTTGAGGCTGCAGTAGCCGTGAGCATGCCACAAAGTGAGACTCCAACTCATTAAAAAAAAAAAAAAAGCCATAATGCCCTTGGAGCCTCAGGACTGTACAGAGCATCAACCACAGACCAGGGCCAGAGGAGGTCAGGCGGAATCCTCCCAGGGTCCTGCCAGGATTCGGCATAAGAAAGTGCAGTGGTCATAGGGATAGTTCTACCTAGTTTATTGTTTTTCAGAAGGGACTTCTATAGGGAAGCTCTTAACAAGGGAGGCTGGGACAGGGCAACCCAGGGTATCTCAAAAGAGGAGGAAGGAGAGAGAAATCCTCTGGAAGAAGAGAAGGCGCCAGGAGGTGGTGGCATCCAGGGCCAGGACAGATCCGGTCCAGAAAAGAGAGTACTGAGCAGATTTAGACTGGCCCCACGGAGCGCCCCCATTCCAGGATGGGGCCCCAGGGTGGGACAAGACATGATGTTTGGAGACGGCACAATTAAAATATAGTCAGGTCCCAAGGCAGAGAGGGGACACAGGGCCGGAACCAAGAGAGGGCAGGCAGAGTTCTGGCTCCCAGCTGGTGGGACTGAGAGTTTCCGGGGCAGCTCTAAGGACCTAGAAGCATCACTGACCACCAGTAGAAAGGACGGGGCTGGAAGGCCCCACAAGTGACAGGAAAGGCCCTGCTTGGGGTCCCTGATCCTTGACAAAAGGAACCAAGTCCATCGCTAGACAGCAAGACGGGCAGCGAAGCAAGACCTATAGGGAAAGACGCAGCCAGACACCTGGGGGACGTAGCTCCTGGCTCCCACCCTGCCCCTGTTCAAGCCTCAGCAAGGCGTGCCCAGGGGCAGGAGCGGGGGTGACTCTCTGGGCTTGTGGAAGTAGATGGAGGAGGACACCTCGGTCTTGAGCTTGTTGTCCGAGTTGTCGGCGGCCGAGGCCTCCAAGGCCCCTCCACACTCATCACAGCAGCAGCAGCAGCAGCAGTCCAGGAAGGCCTGGCCCAGTGGCCTGCAGATGCAGAGGAGGAGCACAGGGGTGATGGCGCCCTTGAAGAAGGTGGAGAACTGGTTGATGAGGCCCAGGAGGTCCAGGGTCTGGCGGGTCAGCTCGGTGGAGAGGTAGGCCACCACGATGTTGCAGACGTTCTCGGGGAGGGTGCAGAAGGCATAGACCACCGTCAGGCCCACCACGGTGCTGTTGAGCTGACGCTCACACTGCTCATGCTTGCCCGCCCGGCACTCTGGCTTCCTCCCCGGGGGGCCCCGCACGCGCCACGTCACCAGCTGGCAGGTGACGGTGAAGAGGATGGGCAGGCAGAAGTAGCAGCCAAAGTACCACCACATGCGGGCGTTCTGGTAGGTCATGACCAGCGAGTAGAGTGACTCGGGCAGGCGGGCCGAGGGTTTCATGATGCACGAGTCCACGGTGCCCATGGTGGGGGCAGGCTCCTGTGCCAGCTGCCACAGCAGGAGCTCAGGCACGGCCAGCGTCATGGAGCCCACCCAGATGACAGCCAGCTTGGCCAGGATCGACTGGCACCGCTCGATGGGCCTCACCTTGGGGAGGGTGCTGGTAGCCACGTGGAAGCGGTCGATGCCCAGGGCACAGAGGCTGAAGGTCGTGACTCCCAGAGAGGAGACCTATGAGCAAGAATAGGGAGGAAGAAAGATGTGCTTGGTCCACAGACCCTGATGCTCTCTAAGACATTCTGGAAAATCATCTCTAAGCAAAAATGAAAACAAAGGAAAGTTCTGGGTTTTTGCAAGTCTTTCCACTTCCGGCACTCCATCATGTGAACCGATTGGGTGAATAGTCTTAAAGAACATGGCTCACACACTCACACTCACACACACACACACACTCACCCTCCTGGCCCTGTCCTGAGAAACCCAGGGCCTGGCTGTGTGAGGAAGCAGCCCCCCTCCGAGCAGCCTGTGCCCACCATAGCTGCGCTATTCATTGAGCCTCAGGAAAATCACCCTGTGCGCCAAGCGGAAGAGGCCAGGGCAGTAGGGAAGGAGAGTGCCAAAGAGCACACAGGAAGAGGGAACCCTCCCGCTATCAGATGCTGTTCCACCACACACACTTGGAGATTGTGCTCAGATGCCCCTCCTGCCAGGATCCTTCCCTCCTCTGGCTGGGGGAGCATAATCCCTGGCTTATTAGCACTGCTGGCAAGTGTCCTTTGTGAGAACCCCAGCCTCCTCTCTCGGCAGGGGAGCCCGGGCCTGTGGAGGAGCAGCCTTCAGGCTTGGGCAGAAGCACCACACTCTCTCCTTTCTCTACATCTCAAGACACATCTCAAGTTTTATTCCAAGATAACTTTTCCTGCTCCCTCCTAGGTGCCATCCTGAGATCCTCCCTCTAAAAGGGTTGGGGGCAGCATGCTTTCCTCCACCTGTTCCTATCTATCACCCAGCCTAGAGGGAGGACTCTCTATCTGCCTGTGGATCATCTCTATCCTCCAGGAGGACCGAGGCCAGAATCTATGTATGTTGGGACCCAAAGACAGGGCCAGGTGTTCATTGACCTACCAGCCACACACAGGCAAGTGTTCATGTGTGTCTGCCCTCCTCCCATCCTCCTCTTATACCATTCCCAAATAAAAGCCACCAACTGTTGAATTATTTTAATTCTGAGCACTTTATAAACATGATCCACTTAATCCTTTAAGAATCCATTCACGCTGGGCTTGGTGGTTCAGCCTGCAATCCCGCGCCTTTGGGAGGCTGAGGTGAGTGGATTGCCTGAGCCTGCGGGGTTCGAGATCTGCCTGGGCAGCGAGACCTCATCTCTACAATAAATCAAAAAATCAGCTGGGCGTGGTAGTGCATGCCTGTAGTTCCGGCTACTTGGAAGGGTGAGGCAGAAAGATCACTGGAGCCCGGTCGAGGCTGCGGTGGCCGGAAGCGGCCACTGCACTCCAGTCTGGGCGACAGAGTGAGACTCCAACCCAAAAAAAAAAAAAAAGAATCCATTCAGATAGCTCTTACTTTCATTTTTATTATTATTCCCAATTTACAGATGAGGAAATTGAGGTTTAGGCAGGTTAAGTAAATTACCAAGGTCACTCAGCTAGTGATGGAAAACCCAGTTTCGAATCTAGTCTGTCCAATCCCAGAGTCCTATGTTGAGCCACTCACAGTTCACCTGGGCTGTGAGCACAAGCTGATAACTAAGATGCAAATACTCAGTTGTAGGATCTTCTTTGGAATGGCTTTGGGTCACCATTAGGCAGTCTCCCTGAGTTGGGAAAGACAGAAAGAACTATACCAACCAATGAGCCTCAGAGAGTCTATCTAACTATGAAATCACCACAGGCCAGGTACAGTGGCTCATGCCTATATTCCAGCACTTTGGGAGGCCGAGGTGAAAGGATTGCCTGAGCCCATGGGTTTGAGACCAGCCTGGGCAACTTGGCAAGACCTCATCCCTACAATAA